CCCAGGGGGACCGCTTGGGGCTCTGTCTCAAAAAAAAAAAAAAAAAAAAAAAAAGTTCATGAACTCATCCTAGGAAAAGTGCTATGTACCTCACTGCTGAATATCACTATGGTCACCTTTAAAGTGCTCCCCTTGGAAAGCTATGCACCAATTCCAGTGCCTAGTCCACCCTTCAAAGCAATTTTGGAACTCTTTCTGGAGTGACCAGAGTTGTCAATCATACGAATGTTATCAATCATACGAAACTCCGAGTCACAAACTTGCCACATTGTGCTTACATTGGCAGCACCATATAAACAATTCAGTAAGGATTCATAACGTTGGTATATCAGGGTCTCACAGTTGTGTTCATGTCAATGTGTGGAGGTATCTTGCTGAGTGGTCTTCATTAGTATTGTTGCATGTTTTTGTTTGCTGTACAATACCACCTCTGATGGTCATTACAGAAAAGTTCTAAAATTGTTTTGAAGGGTGGACTAGACACTGATGTCAGTCCATAGCTTCCCAAGGGGAGTACTTTGAAGGTGACCACAGTGATATTCAGCAATGAGATACACAGTACTTTTTTTAGGATCAATTCATGAACTTAATTGTCAGACCTCAGTATGTACTACTGAGGTATTTAATGATTTTAAATAATAGTTCAAAACAAAACAAAAAAATAAATAAATAAAGGTTCATTTTTTTTTTTCCCCCATAGAGTTTTATATAACTTCTGCCAGACTTATTCCTTTGGGATCTAATTTTTGCTATTGTAATATATGTTTTTAATTATGTTTTCTAATTGTAGGTATACAGAAATACAACTGGTTTTCATATACGTATCTACCATTTATGATTCTTATTAGTTCTCGTAGTTCATTAACACATAGATTGTTGCTTAAGTCATCTATGCATAGTGAGTTTTGCTTTCTTTTCAGTCCCTAGACTTTTCATTTCTTTTTCTTATGCTCCAAAGGCCGAGACCACCACTGTAGTACAATGTTGAGTAGATGAGACAAGTAGTAGGGAAATTTGTCTTGGCTGTAATCTTAAAGTTTTGCCATCAAAAGTGATTTTTGCTGTAGGCTTTTGGTAGGGAGGTATTATCAAGGCTAAGAAAGTGACCCCTATTCCTATTTGCTAGGAGATCTTAGTCATATACAAGTGTGAACTATTTCCAATACTTTTTCTGCATTGATGGTGGTGAGCCCCCTCCCACTTACCTCTGCAACCTCATCTCCTACCACATCACCCTCCCTGACATTGCTTCAACTCAAGAGCCTTCTTCAGATTCCTTAAGTCACCTTCCCTCATCACTCACCTGTTCCTTGGGGTCCAGGGCCACTCGGGCTGCAGCCGTAGAGCTTGAGGACCCGAGTGATGTCCGAGGCACTCAGGTTCCATCGCTGGCCAATGTGGACACTGGAGGCCCAGAGTGGTGTGATGGTGGGCAGCCCTCGCCGGCTAAAAGCAAGCCTAGGACCCAGGCATAAGTGTCTCAGTCCATACAGGGCAGGGGCTGGGTGGGCAGTGCAGAGGGGAGGCAGAGGGTGCTCACCTTCCATAGTGCATCACGGAGGAGTAGTCATAGGGTGTCAGCATGTTGCTGCTCCGGGACTTGATGAAGTTGATTTCAAAGCCTTAAAAACACAAACATGTGGGCAACTTAGAGACAAAAAAAAAAAAGCAGGCAGGAAAGGGCCAGTGAGAGGTGGGGGATGCCTTCTGGGAATTTATGACCCACCTAAGCTGAGGGCTCTGAAACCACAACCAAGTATGTTGTTTCCCGTACTGTCCTCCACTCTCTACCTGCCCTGGGAGGAGTCCAAACCTTCACCAGGTGACAAAGAAGCACAGGGACCTCATGGCTGGCCAAACATCACCTTCTAACAGTTCCTTCCTCCTCTCATATTCATCTTGGGACTAGCCTTTGCATAACCTGCAGCTTTCATGAAGTGACACACTGCACAGAGTGCCTTGCATGCCCCTCCCTATCCCACCAGAGGAGGTATTTACTGCTCAGCTCAGCTTTGGGTCCCAGTAGTAGCCTGCCTGTTCTTCCTGCCTCAGCCCATCGCACCCTCACTCGGGTCCTTTTGCCCTTTAGAGTGAGAACCTTGGAAGGGTCCCAGGATCCCCTAGACCCAGTCAGCCACTTCTATCCCCTCCCACCCCCACATCACCAGCAGCCTCACAAAGCAGGTCAGCATCCCAATACCTTTATTTCCCACCGCCTGCGTAAAATATCCACCCCCTAGAAATCTCATTTCTTCCTTTCAAAAACCCCTTACTTATTAAACAATCTTGAATAGGATGCATTCGTCTGCTTCAAAAGTCCAATAGTAAGAGAGAGTAAAAGCCTCCTCCATCCTTCTCCAAATTCCCACCTCCCCATCCCAACAGTTAATTACTATTATTAACATACAGAACAAACTCTGCTAGGACATATATGTATTAATTAAATATAACCATGTTGTCATTTTTTCTGCATTCCTAAGAGAAACCATCTTTTTGCCCACTAGGGTAGCTGGTGTTTTAACTTGTTTTGTTATTTAGGAAAACAGCTCAAATTTATTAGTACTATTTTCTAATTCAATCTGTTTTTACCTTTATTAATTCCCCCCTCCTTTCATCCTTAGATTGACATGCTTAATTTGTTCTCTATTTTACCAATATAAGTATTTAAGCCTACATGTTTTCCCTGAGCGTTGCTTTAGCTGTGAACCATTGGTTTCAATACAGCCTTTTTTAATTGCTATGATTTAACTCCAGAGCTAAAAGAAAGGTATGTTGTTTTTAATTTCCAAGTAGAAGATTTTGGTTTTGATTTGTTATTAGTTTCTATTATGCTTTTTATTTTGTATCATGATCTGAATCTTGATAATCTGAATTTTGAGATTAAGAGTTTTTCCTGGTATAACATAGGAAGAATTTCAAGTGTTTCATGAGCACGTAGATCACAGTCTATTTTCAGGGTGAGAGTCACCCTTTACTCCACCATGCTATTTCCCCAGCCTAGCCTGAGTCAGTCTTGTCCCGGTCCCTTTGTAGGTTACTGCCTATGTACCCCCTAAGTACCCCTGTCTGCGGGGGCTTCCTGTATGCTGCTCTCTGGTTCTGGGGCACTTGCCCAGCTATACCACCTGGCTAACACGACAGCAATAAAAGGCTTTGCTGCTGGAAGCCCCAACCAAATTCCTGGTTACCCCTCCCCTGCCCCTCTACCTCATAAGGCAGTTACCTTTATCCTCTTAGTTTCTGAATCAGGCCATACAGCCCACAAGAGTAGGGACCCCACTGTCACTAGGAACAGATCCACAGCACCACACCCAGCACGCAGCTGCTGCTCCCTGGCATGGATCTGGGGCCCACTCACCTCCAGCCTCGGCGCTCCTGCTTCTTCTGTCTACATGCCCATCAGTGCCCAGCATGCTCCAAGCCCTTGGCACTGCCCTCAGCCCCCTCCAGCCTACTATCTCCAGGGCTTCCCCCTTGCTCCAGCCCCCCAGCCAACACAGTGACATATGAGGGACTGCTGGTTGAATACTAAATGAGTAGGGTTCAAAAGACACTGTCAACCCCATCCATAGGTAGATGAAAGCGTCAGAGAAGAGAAATGAGACAAAGTGAATGGTGACACCCTAGCTCAGGCATGACCATGGTTGGGTGATAAAGCCATGGAGCCAGAACAGCAGCAGTCAGACCACCCTCCAGGTCCCAAAGAGAAGCAGGGCCCCACCTTTCCTGTGGAAACAGGCAGATAGTAAAGAGAACGGGGCAACCTCATTCAAGAAGCCAGGTGACTCCTTAGGCCCTGGCCCAAGCCTGCTGTCCTCTCCCCAAGGACCAGCCTGGCCTGTGCACCACCTGGCTTACCTGGGAGAATTTCATTCCAGTTGACACGGATATAGCTGTCCCGGTCAGCCCGTGCGTGCTCATGCCAGAAGCCCAGCACATGCATGAGCTCATGCAAGACAATGCCCCGGCCCTTCCGGAGACAGGCAGGTGCCAGGGATACCATCTGCATCCCTCCACTGCGCCCCACACTAGAGAAGCACCTGCAGGGCCACAGGAATGAGCTGAGTGGGCACCTGCCCAGAAAGAGGCAGAGACCCAGGCCTCTTCCCTCCTCCCAGGTTATAGGATGGACAAGCACCAGTGGGCAAGGTCCTGGTCTGGGCTCCAGACCCAGGTTTACTGTTCTCCACCAAGGTCTTTTACTACCTGTCCTCTGGGAAGTAGGCATAACAGACGCCTGTGACCAGCCTGGGCTGCAGGGGCCAGGCACTAATATTAACATGGATACAGGCTGCTCATCAAGTGAGCATTCACATGTCCCGAGACAAATCAAAGCTTTCATATGTGTTGTTTCAGGCCTCTAATAAGCCAGGAAGCTGGTATCACTACTCCTCACCTCACAAGGGGAGAAGTTAGGGGACTTGCCTGGACTCATACACTCTCTGTCCCACAAAACCTATACTCTGTCACCACACCATGGTGTCTCCCAGGAGATGAGGGCTTTGCAAATGAAGGTCAGCACCCAGTTCCCATCCTGTCCCCAGCGTCTGCCCTGCAGGTCCAGCTCATGTTGAGCAAACTACCTCAGTATGCACAAGAGGAGTTTGAACCCCAGAAGATGGCCCAGAAATAGGTTTTAGACAATGACTGAGTTAGTTCTGGTTTGAACACAGAAGTCCACTCTCCACACACACACACCCCACCAGAGCACTTACCCGTACATGGGGATGATGGAAATGAAGTCTTTCTGGCCCTGGTGGGAGACAAACCTGACACACGTGTAACGTTCAAACTCAGCAAACGCCTCCAGGATGACCTTGCGGCTGGGCTCATCTGGGGAAGAAACTCTGAGCTCCATCTAAGCCCTCAGAGCCCGTGTGGTCTCTGAGGTTTCTCTGGGAGACTGAGAATGGGGCTACAAACTCTTCCAAATTAGCATCAAGAAAGGGCAGCACAGTGATATTGGGGAAGATGGAGCTCTAGACAGACCCTGCTGTGTGACCTTGGGAAGGCCCCAGTCCTCTGCACATGATTTCAAGAAGGTCCAGATCACCCCAAGATATACTTTCCCCATCAGCTCTTCCCGGATTTTAACCCTCCCAACTCAGGAGGCTTTGGGGAATAAAAAGGCTTTGGTAGAAGGGCTCTTTGGGGCTGGTGGAGAAGATGCAGTGAGGTGAGAGGAAATGAGAACAAACCGCAGCGGGGAACCTAGGCTGAGGCTGAGGGGAGGCCCATACTTACCATAATTGCTAGAGAGCAGGAAGGGGATCTCTACAATGCCACCACTGTTCTTGGGCCACTTGTTGCTGGTTGCTGACAACAGTCGGAAGGGACTCTGAAGAGAGAGGGTAGCTCAGGAATCCCTGGGGACATAGGACACCCAGGTGCTACACTCTAAGCCCTAATGATGTGGGAGGCAGGACCTGGGTATGTAGAGCCAGGGGGACCAGGGGATGGAGGACCACAGTGCAGGGACATCCACTGGCCAGCTATGTGAATTGCCAAATACATGACAATCCTTTGGCCTTGCAACCAAACCTTGATAAAACAGAGCCTGCAACTTGTCCTATTGGGCAGATAGAACAAGATCAGCCTCCGGCCCCAGAGGAGACTGGTTAGGAGGCCCTACACTCCAGGGGACCCTGGATCAGAAGGGTCTAGGGTTCCATTCAGCAGCCCCACCCCCACACTTCACTAGTGCAGTTCGCAGAGAACACCACCTGGCCTCCCTGAGATAGCTCCTGGTCTTAGCAGCCTCTTCTCCACTTTTCAGCCAGTCAGACCTCTGAAGCATAGGCTCCACAACCCCCCAGCAAAGTTGGGTTCTGCTCCACAGTGGTCACCTGGCTGCCTCCCAGGGTACAGATAACCTGGGCCTTCCCTGCCCTGGGGGAGCTCCTGCACAACCTTGTGGCTGACCTTGGCCCTTTAGTCCAGCCACATGCTATGCCACCAGCGGCACAGTCTCTAAACCCAGTGGTTCTCAACCTTCCTAATGCCGCGACCCTTTAATACAGTTCCTATGGGTCGTGACAGGGTTGAGAACCGCTGCTCTAAACCAATAGGACATTCTTGCCTTCCACCTGGTCACTGTCCTATGCAGGAGACTTCTGCCCTCCCCAGTCACCTAAAATATGGTACTGCTTTCCTGGACACAGTGTCCTTTCTTTGATGACAAGTCACCCCAATTCCAACCAGCCTGCCCCCTTTGACTTGGCCCTGCAACCCCAGCTGGAATGGTCTGTCTTTCCACATGACTTCTTGTGCTCTGGCCTCGCCAATCATGCTGCCAGTGAGCCCCTCATCTCCCACACTACACCCCCAGCTGCCACTCTTCACCAACCCAGGCCCATTTCTTCCTTCATTGAGTCCTCCCTGAGCTCCACCACTGAGTCAGGAGTTCAAACTTCTCCTGGAGCTGACCCTGCCAGTCCTTCAGATATCACCTTCCTTTAGCATTCAGGCTGGCTTATTCCTACCAAAACAATCACTCTGACCTTGATGAAAAGTTGTCTGACAAGCTATGTATGTCCCTCACACATGACATACTAGCCCATGACACTTTGGGGTGAGCACAGAGGGCCCCTGTCGCCACCGGTGAGCCCCTCTCCCCCCACGGGTGTTAGCATGCACACATACTCACTGGCCGGATGATGTCCCCCTCGATAAGGAAGCTGCTTTCTGGGGTTTCCTCTGGGATGAGCCCTGGAAAGGGAGGCAGGGATGTTTTGGTCCATGCCCCCAGAACACAGACCCTAGGGACAAGCCAGGCAGCTCCCAGAGTCTGTTCCTCCTTTAACTTTGGAACTGGAGCTTCTCTGAGCACCAAGTGTGTATGATCCCAGGAAAGCAGCAAGCTCCCCAAGTCCCAGCCTACAAGTAAGCATTAGGTGCTTCTCAGCCCGGCTGCTTCCTTTGCCTGCTCACAGCCAGTGGCTCCTGCAATCTCGAGATCCAGCCCCCATTCCAGGTCCTTGGTAGTCAGAAAGCAGCAGCCTTTTCTTCTAGCTGTTTCCACCTTCCACTCCAGCCCAAGCTGCACTCCTTAGAACAGGCCCTAGGTTCTCCCATCCCATCCCTAGCCATCTGTATTATATCCCAGACCCTTCAGATGGTAAGTGACAGATTCCAATTTGTGCTACCAAAGGAGGCTGGCAAGTTCTGGCTCTTACAGGCCCCTCTCAGCTTGCCTCTGCTTCTTGTCGCCCTGAGCCAGGTAGTGTTATGCAAGTGACTTACAGCAGAGGGCATCACCTCAGGAGAACTAGTGATGGAGCAAGGGACCAAGAGAAGGCCAGGGAGAATAGGAGCTCCACGGAAGTGAGCCTCAGCTTGATCTTGTGGGAGCTCTGGACCATAAATGGCACCACACATTTGCACTGCCTAGAGGCCGGGCCAGACTTCCATCCCATCTGAGTCACTATGAGCCACCCCAGAGAGCAGAGGCAGCTCCCTTTGGCTAAGGGCCAGTCTCAGGAGGACAGGTACAGCACTCGTGCTAATGAGTAGCAACACTGCAGCAGCTGGAACTGGGCAGGTGCTTCCCAGGGGAAAGAGTATCAGGAGGGCACCCAGAGCATCTGACAGTCAATGCCAGGGAGAGTCAGGCTCAGGTAGCTTCAGACCATTCACAGTGACTTACAGGTGGTATTGTGCCTGACTCAAGGCTCAACAAGCTCTAGGACTCCAAGCCAGCTCAGGAAGAGGTGGGGACAGATCACACAGTAGCTACCACATCAGGTAGATTTCTACCCCATCCCTAGGACAAGGTCAGCCCCCACCCCATCCCTTCAGTGCTTTAGCCCATGATGGCTACAACATCTGAACCCCAGTCCTCACTTCCACTGGCTCTGTCCCAGGCTCATTCTTCAGCTGAGATCCCCAGGCAGGGAGATCCAGAGCCTCAGGCTTCTTTGTCCGTACCCCCCCCCCAACCTTCACACCTGCAGACCATCCTGCTGATGTATTCTCAAACTTATCTACTAATGACTTAGCTCAACACCCAGGCTGGGACAACCCAAACAACCTATACTTTCATAAGGGAATTTTTCTTGTTTTTCTGTAAGTTTTTCATAAGAAAGCTTATAAAAGTAATAATCCACTAACAAAGATCTAAAAAATAGGCTCGGCGCCTATAGCTCAACCGGCTAAGGTGCCAGCCACATACACCTAAGGTGGCGGGTTCGAATCCCCAGCCCGGACCTGCCAAACAACAATGACGGCTGCAACCAAAAAATAGCCGGGCATTGTGGCGGGCGCCTGTGGTCCCAGCTACTCGGGAGGCGGAGGCAGGAGACTCGCTGGAGCCCAGGAGCTGGAGTTGCTGTGAGCTGTAATGCCACGGCACTCTACCCAGGGGGACAGCTTGAGGCTCTGTCCCCAAAAAAAAGATCTAAAAAATAAGCAATTGCCCATAGAATTTCTACCCACTTAGAACCCAGAGTAAGCTGGTGTATTTCCTCCCAGATTTTTCTGCATTTTCCAGTATTTAACATGGTTTTCACACTACATGGACAATGTCACACCCCTTCAGGCCACAAGAAGACACAGTGTTCTTACCTTGGTTAATCGCAGGGATGTCCTTGTCCCAAGACACATTGGTCTCCTCGGAGGTGAGGCCTTCTGGGAAGCTGGAGGCTGAAGGAGCTCCAAGGATCAAACCTGGCCCAGACAGACAGGCTCAGAGGATGCTGGGGCACGCAGGGGCAAGCATGCAGGTGCCTGCAGCACCCCATTGGTGAGACCAGATAAGACAGGGTGTCAGACCACAAGACTCAGCCCCTTTGTGATGAATAGGCCTCCAGCAAGGAGTCCTAAGAGCCTGCCCAGCCTCTCCTCGCAACCCCAAACATTGCCAAGGCCTAGATTCTTTCAAGGACAACATTCCCTTTGCAGGACCCATACTTGACTCAAAAAGGAACGTGCACCATGTATTAGAGAGAGAAAGGGGCAGGAGGAGGGCAGGGACAGAACTCAGGTTCTAATGCCAATGGCAGGTTCAGGGCTTGCCTTAGACTCTGCTCCATGATGCCCAGGCTTTTGGAAAATGGGCTCAAAAATGGGCTGCCTTCTTCCAGGTGGGACCTCTGCTCCTAGAATTTTCAGGAGGCCTCCCAGCCACCCCAAGGGCTGACTTCTCCCAGGAATACCCTTGCTCTGGAGAATACCCTTGCTCTGAGCTATTAAGATCCCTTCAGACTCCATCCACACTCTTCTGGCCTCTCCCCAGCATTCTGGAGGTGGGAGCAAGAGCCAGGAGGGCCAAGAAACCAACTTACATGGCCAGGAGAGCAGACCCAGCACCCAAGGCAAGAGGCCTCCCATGCTTCGACCCCTCAGCAAGCAAGAAGACTAATCCCAGCGGGACAAGGCAGCCAAATTACACAATTAGTGCCATCCACTACCTCTTAAATAGCAGCTTCTCCACCTCCCACCTGCAGCTCCCCAAACACCTCTACTGTGGCTGGGCCCCAATCACTTCCAGCTGAAGCCCCACCCCAACCACTTCTACCTGTGGCCCCACCCCAACCACCTTCAGCTGAGGTCCCTCCCCACTCCATCTGCAGCACCATCCAACCTGTAGTCCCCAGCCTACCCCAGGCCCCAGCCTTTTTGCATCCTGGTCCGAATCCTTACTGGCTGAAGTGAGTGAAAGAATGAGAAGTGTGGCTCCTCTTGGTCCCTAACCTTGAAAGTGTGGCTCCTCTGAGGTCCCCTCCTGCCACCAGGGGGCAGAAAAACATTGTAGAAAGGTACTCCAGGCCTAATCCTAGGGAGATGCCTTTTCCTGCCCCCACCCTGTGCTCAGGCCTGAGATAGCTGCCTGAGACCCTAGGGCCCCCCCACCCGCCCCAGTGAATCTGTGGAAGGAGGGAAAGATCACTACATTTGTATATGCTTTTATTTTAGTGTACGCATAGGGAAATCCACAACCACAAAAGCAGAGCTCTGAAAATTTTCAAACAATAGTCCTTGTAACCAGCACCCAGGAGAAGTCTGCCACGCGGGAAAAGTGAAGTTTTTGGAAGCCCAGGCTCTTGCATGGACGCTAGTGCTCTAGCCACATGACAGCCTGGTAAGAACAGTCACGGTTTGTTGCCATTTCCCAGATTTGGAAATTAAAGCTCCTCTTCTTCTGTACCTTTCAGCTTCAAAGCCAAGTAACCTAGGAGCCCCACCTGGATTGAAATCCTGGAGGTGAAGTATGGCAACTCTGGGCGGCATCTGGGGACACCCTACCACGACCACCAACACCCAGTGAAAGGAAGTGATAGAGACAAGAATGACAGCTCTTGCCCATAGGGATCCCTCAGCACTCCTGCCATGCCTAGAACCCAGCATTTCTCCAAAGATAGGAATTGCAGGAAGAACACAATGAAGGCAATCGCACCTGCTGCCCAGACAGGGCAATGACAAATGTCAGAGACTGAGTGATGGGTATGATAGTTAGCTTGGTTGTGTTCATCATTTCATAATATACACGTATGTCAAAACATCATGTTATACATGTTATAGTTGTTAAACTATACATGTTATGTTTATAGAACATAAACAATTTTTATTTGTCAGTTATACCTCAATAAACCTGGGGAAGAAAAGTGAAATTTAAAAATACAGCCCATCGAGAAAACAAGAGTGGGTGAAACTGATTAAAATGAGTGCTCAGTAAAAAAATTGAAACAGTGATAATAACAATCATCCTGCTTGGATAGAGAAACAGATTGTTGGTTTAAAAATGCAGTTGGAACACCGGCTAGCTCAGTCGGTAGAGTATGCGACTCTTAAAATGCAGTTGGTTTCCAGGACATTGTGCTAAGTGAAGAAATTAGGCAATCATAAGAAGACAAATGCTACCTGACTCCACTTACCCGCCATATCTAAAGTAGTTCAAGTCAAAGAGACAGAAATGGGGAGAGGTGACCAGGTATTAGGGGAAGTTACTATTAAATAGGTATAGAGTTTCAGCTTTGCAAGATGAAAAAGTTCTGTAGATTTCTTTTTTTTTTTTTT